CTTTCAAGGAAGCGGAAATGGCCAACATATTCTAACATTACACAATTAAGCTGTATTTCTGGCATTGCAGAGGGATTGGCTGGTAACTACTGGAAGAGCACTTTGGTTTTTTCGATCTTCAATGAGAGACCGAGTTTCTCGTATGCTTCTGCGAAGGTGTTTCGAGTGGCTTGTAGGTCTTCTTCTGAATGCGCACAGATGACGTTTTCATCAGCATATTGGAGTTCTATAACAGATGTTGTGACCTTCGTTTTGGCTTTCAGTCTGCTGAGGTTAGGTTAATAGCTTGCACCAACACTAGATGCTGATGAAGACATCAAGGAAAAAAATATGTCAGCTGGACACCATCCTATCGGAGATACCTAAGGAGGACAAAATCATCCTCCTGGGGGATTTTAATGCAAGAGTCAGACAAGACTTCAACCTGTGACCAGGGACCACAGGAAAAGATGAGGTTGCAGCAACTTGAATGGCATCCTGCTTCTCCGCAAATGTGGAGAACACAACCTTGTCATCACCAACACGCTCTTCTGCCAGAAAGACAAGCTCAAGACATTATGGAAGCACCCCCGGTGAAAGCATTAGCACCTCTTAGGCTATGTAATAACGTGTGCCAGAGACTGTCGTGGCGTGCTTCTCACAAGAGTCATGATAGGTGCTGATGACTGCTGCACAGACCACAGGTTAATCTGATCCACGATGGCTATCAAAATGGCCCCCAAACACAGACTCCAAGGAAGAAAGATAAGGTGCAACATGAACACCCAAGCCCTCCAGGAGCCCTCCAAATGACCCCTTCTCAAAGCAACACTCAAGGATCATCTACCCATACAACACTCCGAAAATGTTGAGGAACATTGAAACAAACTGAAGATCTCCATCATCGCAGCCATTGGATATCAAACTAAGAAACATCAAGACTGGTTTGACGAAAATGACAAAGAGATCCAACAGTTAATTGATAAGAGAAGGAACATGGTAGAAAGACATCAACTGCGCTGCTAAGAAAAAGATCTTCAATGTATTGTCGAAGGCTTTCATGGCCGGAATCATTGGGTTGTTGTAGGTTTTTTTGGGCTATATGGCCATGTTCTAGAGGCATTCTCTCCTGACGTTTCGCCTGCATCTATGGCAAGCATCCTCAGAAGTAGTGAGATCTTCGCTCGTGCAAAAGCTGAGGTCCGAAGAAGGACCAGAGAACTCAACAACATCTAGTAGACAAAGAAGGCTGAATTAAAATTATAAAGGTCAATGTAGATTGATATAATGAAGTGCAGATGATATTAACTGCATTGAGTTGGATTATATGAGTCTATACTGCCAAATAATCCGGTTTAATGCACTTAATTTGCATTCCAAAACTGCATTATGTTGCAGTGTTGATGGACTCTAAATCTACAGTGTTTGTTACAATCAAGACGAGTGAGATGTATGTTCAATTTAGATGGCTTTCATCGATTTTTATTTTGTAATATCAGTCTGGGAACCAGTCCTCGTTATAGAATGATCAAGAAAGGAAATCACCAGCCCTCAGGGTGCCCTAATGTAGTCGTTTTTCCTTCCACTGTAACCCTAGTTAATTGATTGTCAATTAACTGGAATTAACAAACATAATTGTAAAATGTACTGTAGACATCCGCAAATATGTCCTCTGAGCCTTAGCAATCATTAATGTGAATTACAGCACTACAGTCTATAGTAGGATCTCTAAAGCATAATCTGACTCCAAAAGTGAAAGTCAGGGAGGGAGGAGGGACAGGGTGAAAAAAAATCCTTGAACTGTACATTCATACTGAATAAAGTTTTATTTGCAAATGCTGTTTCAAAATGTGATCTTTCGAGTTAGAATTATCAGGGCATATAGACAGGTTTGGCAAGAAGGTGAGAGCTTTGCTGGTGAACAAGAAATGAGAAATCTATATAAATAAAAATGTAATGTTCATTTGTGGTATTCACAGAACTCAAAAACCCCTGGGGCAATTGGCACCCAATTTGGACACGATACACCTAACAACCCAATGTATGTTCTCCACTCAAAAAAACCACGAAAACAAAAAGCAGAAAGGACTTCTGAACTGCATGTCCACAAAGGAGAAACTGCATGTCTACAAAGAGACCCATGGCCACGCCCCCTCCTCCTCGCGGGGAAACAGCCGGCCATTAAAGCATGAGGAGCCTGCGTGCATGCCCCCCCCCACATACACACACACACAAGTGAGAGTGGGCACCATGGGAGTGAGGAAGAAGAGGAGGAGGACAGTGGATGGGCTCTTCAAGTCCCTCCCTCGCCGACAGAAGCAGCAGCCTTTTTCTTCTTGGCTGTCCCCCCTCCCTTTCGTCGCCTCCTCTTCCTCCAAGATACCCCGGTAGAAGCAGCAGGCAGGATGGAGGGAGGAGGGGAGAGAGACTGTTCCCTTCTTCGCCAACTCTTTCTTGCCTCCCTCTGTAATCTGCTTGGCTGTCTCCGGCAACACGAGCACACATTTAACTCTCTCTCTCTCTCTCTCTCCCCCATTAACATCCAGACCAGGAGGTAGCTGCCTCTGCCACATCCAACAAAGACTCTCAAATCAAGGACAGTATGGAAGAAATTTCTGTGATTTATTTTCCTCTTTTTTATAAAAACATCATGATTACGGGCATAAACTGAATGAAGAAGTCGATTAGGTTCCGGAGTGATAATAATGCAATTCCTGAATGGACCGGCTTAATTGCGGACGAACATTAAAGGTAATTAGTAGGAACATCTCTGCATTGACAGTGTCCCTTTTCGAATTACATATCACGTCAAATGGCTTTCATACTTATGCACTTTACATGCATCATTAAGTAAGGTCACGTCAGTAATTTTTAAGGAAAGTCAGTGTCAATAATTAGCTTCTTTTCCTTCCCTTCGTTCCTTCCTCCCTTCCCTCCCTTACTTTTTCCTTCCTTCCATCTTCCTTTCCTTCTTTCTATGTAAGATATAAATACAATATTTTATATATTGTTATATAGATTACTATATAATATGTTACTATTATATATTACTACATAATACAAATTAAATATACTTACAGAATAGAGTTGGAAGGGACAGTCAAGAAGTAACGAGAGGAGGGAAAGAGGGAAGGAATGAAGGCGGGAAAGGGGGAAGGAGAGAAGGAGGGAAGGGAAAGAAGGAAGAAAAGAAAGGTAGAGAAGCAAGAAAGGAGAGAAGTAAATAAAAAAGTGAAAGGAAAAATACAGGGAAGGATGTAACCAAAGAGCAAAGAAAGGGAGGAAAGAAACAGGTAGAGACGGAAGAAAGAAGATAAATAGGAAGGGAAAGAAAAAGAGGAAAGGAAGGAGAGAAAGAGGGAGGGAAGGTTGGCCACAGCAACGCGTGGCGGTACAGCTAGTTAAATATAAAATTCCACATCAAGTCTGTTCGGTTTATATGAAATCTCTTCATGAGTTCAGCTACCCACAATTAAATTGCATTGCTGTAAAAAACAACCCTGTAGCATTGTGACCCAATAAACAAACACTTTTCATCTAGGCTTTATTTAGTTATCCAAATGCTTGAACAACATGCACGAACACCATTATTTTTGCAGGCCATGGCACAGTTCAAAACCAAGTTGTTTGCTGAGCTCTTGGCAAATCCCATGCACATTTATCTCGGTTGGTCAAACATTGTGCAGGTCATTGTAAACACTCTTAACATTACTATTCTTAAAATATGCTTAAAGTATTGCAGATAGTTCCATGGAAACAACATTCCTCTGACTTCCAAACACCTTCCAAGCCCTTTCCAAACTTGTCTGTTGTTATGAGGAGGCCCTCTTTGTTAGGGGAGAAAAATAACTTTTTTCCCCCTAATGTTCCTGTTAAGGTGCTTAATGTGATTACAATCCAAAAAGGAAATATTTCCTTTGTGCAATTTTGCCTAAATGTGTGACTGATTTTATTGTGATTTTATTATGTTATTCTGCATTGTTTAATTTTATTTTGTTGCATTATATATTTTGCTGTGTTTAATATTCTGTTGTTTTGTATTTTATTTCGTTGTATTGTTTTTGGGCTAGGCCTCATGGCCGCCCCGAGTCCCCATTGGGGAGATGGTGGCGGGGTATAAATAAAGATTATTATTATTATTATTATTATTATTATTATTATTATTATTATTAATGAGTTTAACTTTCAAAATGATTACAGGTTGAATATCCTTTATTCAAAATGCTTGGGATCAGAAGTGTTGTGGATTTCAGTTTTTTAGATTTTTGAATATACAGTTGCATATATATGTGCATAATGAGATATCTAGCAAATGGGACTCAAAAGTGTGAACATGAAATTCATTTCTTATATGTTTCATCAGGGCTGTAGCCAAGGTCCAACCCCCCCCTGACATTTTTCAGATTCAGAAAAAAACTGGTTTACTCATGAATTTTAAATGGATAACCAAATCCCCATGCTAAGTCCATGAGAAGCAAAAATGAAACAAGTCCCTACAGAACTACAAGCACTATCACAAGCAAATATTTACAATTTATTCACACTGTCCTCTCCTTTTTGCCTTGTATTTTATTCGTGTTGTATTTTGAAATGGTCATATGACTAGTCAAATACATTATTATTATTATTATTATTATTATTATTATTATTATTATTATTATTATTATCACAGTATGTCACAGCAAACAAGATCTATATGCTGGGTTGTTGTAGGTTTTTTCGGGCTATATGGCCATGTTCTAGAAGCATTTTCTCCTGACGTTTCGCCTGCATCTATGGCAAGCATCCTCAGAGGTAGTGAGGTCTGTTGGAAGTAGGAAAAATGGGTTTATATATCTGTGGAATGACCAGGGTGGGACAAAGGACTTTTGTCTGCTGGAGCTACAGAGAGGAAACAAACAAGGACATCAAATCACCTCTCAACAAAAGATTGCTCCAGGCACTGCCAGGCCATCAAATGCTAATCAAGGTGGTCAGTTGAAACATTCACACCTAGCTCCAGAGACAAGAGTCCTTTGTCCCACCCTGGTCATTCCACAGATATATAAACCCTTTTTCCTAGTTCCAACAGACCTCACTACCTCTGAGGTAAACTGGTAAACTGGCTGGGAATTGTAGGCCAAAACACCTGGGGACTCACAGGTTGAGAACCACTGCTCTATGTGGAAAGCTTCAGATTTTGAATTTCTGGATAAGGGATGTTCAACCTGTATAACTTCCTGGGGAAACAAAGACTATGATCACCTGTATGCCTGATCAGTCTGCTGTTAAAACCAAATGTTGATGGTCAGTTTTAAGGCACCTCTTCTCCTCTTATATGGATCTTTAATTCAAACTTGAATTAATTAATTTACCTAGAAAGGCTGCCTTCAGCTAGAGGGCTTTCTTCTGACAGTCCATCAAGCCTAGAACTTTCCTCTGTAAAACTGGATACAGACTAAGAACTGGGACTCAACTGGTTTTTAGCTACATTTGAGAGCCTCTTTTTGAGAGTTTTTGGATGCTATTTTTTAAAATTTTAGAGCTTAATGAAATGTTTTTTGTGGAATGAATTAAGATTTACCACATTCTAGGTAAAGAGTTAGGCCCGTATCACATTGAGATCTATGATGTGGGGACATGATAGGGCAGCAGGGTGAATTGTGGCACAACAATAGAATCATAGAGTTGGAAAAGACCTGATGGGCCATCCAGTCCAACCCCCTGCCAAGAAGCAGGAAAATCACATTCAATGCACCCCCAACAGATGGCCATCCAGCCTCTGCTAAAAAACCTCCAAAGAAGGAGCTTCCACCACACTCCGGGGCAGAGAGTTCACTGCTGAACAGCTCTCCCAGTCAGGAATCTTGTCACCCGCACCACCCGCTTGCCCATCATATGCTAGAAAGCGTAGCTTTCTGGCTTGCTCCTGTGTTGTCCTCATGATTCTCAACCTGAGCACAGGCAGTCTCCCGTGTTCAGATTTCCCCCTCTTACCACACTTCACCAATGCAGCCAGCACAGACCCCCTGCAGAAGTAAATGTGTTATGTGATGAAATTCAGTGGGCTCCATGCCTGCTCTGTCGGTGAAGTGTTGTAGGATGGGTCATTTCTATAATGTTATGGGTCCTTAATCTTACACTGAATTTTAGCTTTCCTTTCTTTACAGCTGTGAAGATACATTTAAAAGTGCCTAGGCAATGCTTAGTCAAGCTATATAGGTAGCTGAGTAAGATTTTTAGTGGTTATGACGAAGGATTTCTCCATGACTTTGGAAAACATAGCTGTTTATGCAAAATTTTGCTGTAATAGTTTGGAATCAATGCTTAGGAGTTAAGTCACAATGTTCTCGCACATGAAACATTTTGTGCACAAGCAGTTTGTGCTCTCTTGGGTGGTTGCTTGGAAAGGGCAAATGTTACAAAAGGGGATTTTTGTCCAAGAGAAAATAAAATAAGAAATGGAGCTGTCCCAAATATGCCTAAATTATTAAAAGAATCCCAGGTCCTAATAAAAACACATCACTGCTTTCCCAAAGTTGGGAGAAGGCCAGTCTTTAATTTTATTTTAATATTAGGAAGGTAAGATATCAGGTTTTCATTTTATTCTATGAATAAACCAGAGTATAATGCTACAAGTTTAAAATTGTTTAATTCATTCTGCAAACAACTTCACAGAAGAGGAAAACAGTGTGATATAGAGGTTAGGGCAGGCATGGGCAAACTTCAGCCCAGCTGTTAGGGATTGTGGGAATTGTAGTCCAGAACACCAGGATGACTGAAGTTTGCCCATGCCTGGGTTAGAGGCTATGGCTTAGGAGATCTTGCTCTAATCTTGCAAGGACTTCTTATAGTCTTAAGTCATCCTGCACTCTCAGGATTACTTACCACAAAGGGGCGGTATATAAATATAGTAAATAAACCAAGAAATACATTATGTACTTTTTGGAAATCTTGAAGGTGAAATTTTACTTTTTAAAATTAAGAAATACTGTTGATTCAGGAGAAGTATAGACTTTTGTAAAAACATCTGTAAAGAAACGTAATTGTACTGCCACCAATTTATATTGTGGCGAGGGAGAGAGACTATTTCTTTATTTAAGAAAAACCTCTTTACTCTTATAAGGATTCCGTTTCTTCTTTTATATTTGCTGGGACTTTCTGTGTGCTGTTTAACCTTTGTACAGGCACTGAGACACACTTCTGTATAACGAAGTAACACAGTTTATTTATAACTTCAGACTCCAAACGCTTGTGGTTACATTTGTGTTTTGTTGCAATCTTGAGACTTACAGTCAGTATAATATACTTGGTTTACTTTTCTGAAATAGACTTTCAATATTTCTCAATCACAAACATGTTACTTGCTTTACACACCCTTGACTGAAATTATGTTCTGACTAAAGCACCACTGGCTATTATATTCCTAATAACCTGAGCTCTCTTTGACTGCTTATTTCTAACAGCAGTTCCTAACTCTTCTCTCTCACAGAAGTTCCTAACTATCTCTCACAAACAGGAATCCCTAACTCTAACTGTACCTCACAAACAGCAATTCCTAACTCTCTAACTGTACCTCACAAACAGCAAATCCTAACTCTTTTGACTCTCTAACTGCCTATTTTTAAAACTTTGGCTCTGCCCCTTTGGAATGTTTAGCTCGGCTCTCCCCAACTGTCATTTTGGCCTACCAACCTGTTCAAATCCTGGGCCTACGCTAAATCTGCATATGACCAATCGGCTTCCATATGCAAATGAATCCTATCTCTGCTGTTGCTACCCTGTCTGTGCCTATTCTTCCCTATCTGCCATATGTGAACATAGAGCTATACACCAAAAATTTAACATAGAGTAGCAATTTCACTACAACATCCATTAAACAATACTTGTTTAGCCTTCATCTGGTATCACCAGAATACAGGCATAAGACATTGACAGATGTATACTATATGTACTGGAGTCAGACCAGGGACCTCATCATATTGAGGTCCTTACGCCAGAGGAAAATGGGGACATACATGGACCAGCGAGGCAAATCTAGCAGGCAGTGGGGGAAACTGTCGCCGCACACCCCACATCGTCCTCTCCCCATCCCACAGGAAAAGCGTTGCTGTCCGGCTTCCCCCCGCACTTTCCCCATCTTATCTAATGAGAACACAGGAAGCGTCCCGTGTTCTCTGGGTTCCGTCCTAGAACTGAGCCCTGCCAGAAGTATCTCTGCATCATGTGATGGGCTCCAGCAGTCTCCATCCTGGAAGCATCCTAGGACAGAACGCAGACCTTGTGTGATGAGCAAACCCACTGAAATCAGTAGCCTTTTATATTTCAGTCATTATTTGTCTGAATCCATTTGAATTTATAGCATGACAAGAGTCAGGATTTAATACTATGGTGATCCTTTAATTTGAATATGGCATCATTTCCATGAACACCCCACATGCATTTTCTGAAACTTTTAAATGATAACTTTTAGTTTTATATGAAAGTAAAGTAATGTTTCTCTCTATTCTCTTTTTACAATTTTATAGGAAGCAAAAGGAGACTTTTCAAGGTGAGTTTTCCATGAATATTCTTCATATCAATGGAAATGTGATTACCAATCTGTTGGACAATCTGTTGACCATCATCCAATTTGCAATACCTATTATCAACTTAAAATTCCAAATATGGGGCTCCTTCAAAGCAAAAGACAGGTAGTCATGACCAGAGGTGGCCCTAGGTAATTTTCAATGGTAAGCAAACAGTATTTTGGCGCCCACCCCCCAACCAATCACTGATATATATTTTCTGTTTGTCGTGGGAGTTCTGTGTGCCATATTTGGTTCAATTCCATCATTGGTGGAGTTCAGAATGCTCTTTGATTATAGGTGAACTATACATCCCAGTAACTACAATTCGTATATGTCAAGGTCTATTTTCCCCCAAGAGCGCCTCAAGAGCGCCCCTGGACAAAATCAACTATACTGCAAAGGCTTACTTTGCGTAATGGGTTAACCGCCCCTGGTCATGACTGATAAAGAAATTGCAGTAGCAGCCGTGACATTTGAGTTTTTGTTGTCTGAAAGTGTTTGTTTTTTTCAAGTTTCAGTGGCCTATTTTAGGTCTTGAATCTACATATGGATTTTCTAGAAGCAAAGAGAAAGATGGTCATATCCATTGGGAAATGAGCCAACAGAAAATAATCTGATGCTGAGATTCCTGAGACCAAAAAGAAGACAAATAAAGAGGAGAGAGGATGGGAAATAAGGGGAAAATTATTACTGTTAGGTTTCCTGAGAAAGATGTGAATGGAGTCTCCAAGATACTGTTTTGAATATTCTTAGGGTTGAAAATGGCCTTGTGAACATAGGAAACCATCTGGTTTATTATATACAGATCTGTAAATTAAATACAGACCAGCTATACAGGAGAGGGCTTTGTGGCACTCTGGTGATTTGTGATGTAACACAGTGGGGGGAGAGAAAACAGTAGAGGAATAAGGCATTGCATTTGTTAATAAGTTTCCTGAGATTATAAAAAAGACAGAACAATCGAAAACACTTATTTCCCAAACATACAAAGGAGGGAGCAGGGAAAATGTTTTTTGTCTGGTATGACATCCAGATAAAGTTCTAAACACACTTTAGTTAGTTATACACAAAGATGCAATTTTATGTAGAATTCACAAAATAAAGTACACCACAAAATGGGATTTTGGCCTGCATAAATAGGAGTACAGTATCTAGATCCAGGAAATTCATGCTACCCCTCTATTCTGCCTTGGTCAGACCATACCTGGAATACTGTGTCCAGTTCTGGGCATCATGATTTAAGGAAGATGTTGACAAGCTAGAATGTGTCCAGAGGAGATTGACTGAAATGATCAAGGGTCTGGAGAACGAACCCTTTGAGGAGTAGCTTAAAGAGCTGGGCATGTTTAGCCTGCAGAAAAGAAGTCCGAGAAGAGACATGATGCTCATGTATAGATATGTGAGGGGAAGTTATAGGGAGGAGGGAGCAGGCTTGTTTTCTGCTGCCCTGGAGACTAGGATGTGAAACAATGACTTCAAACTACAGGAAAGGAGATTCCACTTGAACATGAGGAGAGCTGTTCAGCAGTGGAACTCTCTGCCCTGGAGTGTGGTGGAGGCTCCTTCTTTGGAGGCTTTTAAGCAGAAGCTGGATGGCCATCTGTCGGGGGTGCTTTGAATGTGATTTTCCTGCTTCTTGGCAGGGGGTTGGACTAGATATCCCATGAGGTCTCTTCCAACTCTATGATTCTATGATTCACCCATGAAGCAAGAGGAAATTTCCAAGAAAATGACTAGTCTTGCAATAATTCATCTAAATGGCAAAATTGTTTCAAAAACAGGGCCAGACTCTTTTTATCCTAAACTTACACTTATTATTGTTCTGATTTACTATCCTAAGCTTACAATTTTTATTGTTCTGATTTACTAGCCTAAGCTTACACTTATTATTGATCTGATTCACTACAAGAATGAAACAGACACCAGGAATGAGAGAAATAAATTGCACTGGTGTTCCAATCCAGCTCAGTAAAGATAACAGTTGGATCCCACCAAGGAACTTATGATACTTGATGAGACTGGAAAGCATGTCCTCAAAACGAATTTCTGTTACCATCTGGCTTATTCTGGAAGAGAGCTTCCCCATAGAACAATGGGTGTTCTGTTGTGAAAGAGGTCACAGTGGAGCTGAGAACACAAAGATGTCTCCTTCCTCCTTCTTTAATCCCGAGAACTGGTTTTGGTCCCAAATGGGGATGACTTTTTAATCCCCGTGATTTCAAATGTATTGCTTTTAATTTGCCTCAAAATCTTTTGTATCTCTTATTGAACATGGAGGCTGTTCACCTTAACAAACACATACCCCATTTTGCAGACTTCAGGAATACAACTGTATACAAAGCAACCCTTGACAAAGGTCCTCTTACACATCATTCAGAACCATCAACGACTTGCCAATTCCTCCTGACTTGCTTGTGACAAACAAATGCAAGCTTGTTCTTGTTTTTCATTGCTCAACTCATAACTTTTCAGAGTATCTCTGCCATTCGTATTATCATTCCACTAAAAGGCCAGGAGAAATCTTTAGCTATTTTACCATGCAAATTGATTTATTGCAGTGAGAGCATTGAAAGATGGTTGCCAGCTTGTAATCATTGTACCACAATGCTGGTAGAGAAAACTAGCATGCAGAACTAAATGCAGAAAAAATAGAATCTATTATGTCTATTATTTGTAAAGCTCATGCCTTCATCATCATACTCATGCACACTATTAACTTGCAATACTCAAATAGACAAACAGCTAACCAGTATTTCCACAGCACTGTCCTTTTTATGTTCAATCCTATTCCATTTATCCTTATTCATTGCCTTCTGGTGGAACCCTTTTGTTATTTACCTGTCGTACCTATTGCAGAACCAGTGAATTTTAGTAGTTACGACTAACTTAAATCCCAGTGACTGCCATGGATCTATTCTAGATAGGATTGACATTGGTTGTAGTCCTATGTCAGTGGATTTATCTGATAATGTGAGGACAATCGTTGGCCGTTCTACATGTTCTAAATGATGAAGAGCCCTCAGGACTTCCTCCTTCCTTTTGGTCGCCCAGCCTTTTCTGATCTTCTTTCTTTATGGTGTCGTAAAACACCTCTCCTGCTTTTAGCGGTACCTAATTTCTCTAATCACAGCTAAAGCTGTTTTCAAATTGCTTAGGTAAACAGTGAGCTAGGCTGACAGTGAGCTAGGCAGCTCACACCAACCCGGGGTTTCGAACTTGCAACCTTTTGGTTGATAGATAATTGCTGATGATTTACCAGCTGTGCTAAACCTCTGGCCTTTGAACATTCTCTACGCTATGAACATTCTCATTCTTTTTCAGTCTAAGATCAAAGTGGTCCTGAGTTTTCCGTAGATAAGTGAAGATCTTTGCTTTGCATGTTTATTCTCCCTTTTAAGTGGGAAATCTTTGTTCTTTTAACACAGTTATGAAGAAAATGGCAGTGGGCATAGGGGATACATTACGGAAATAGCATGGAAAGAAAAGATTTTTTTCTAAAACACCCTGGTTCTGATTTAAATCAGATCTCCACAGTGGGTTTTATGTTTATTTTTAAACAGGCTACATTTAATCCATGAATCAAACCTGTCATAGCGAAGGATTTTAGCAAGTGCAAAAGGCTGAAGTCTTACAGACCACCAATTTGTATAAATATTATTGTATGTCAACAGTCAAATACTGAACAATATTGTGTAACAATGATTAAATACTCTTATATATCAAATACATTAATGCAATACAAAGTCACATTGGAGTCTCCTTGAACAGCAGCCTTTAACTATCCATCTTTGGCATTTTGAATCAGGACATGTAATGAAATACATCAAGCTGAGGAGTACTAAATGGTGGTAATCAGACAGGAAGAAAGCAGAGGGGTTAATTGCCACTAAGCAATACATTTGCATAATGGAAATGTGCAGTTTGTAATTTTCATTCCTTGTAATGAACTCGCACTTAAGCAATTAGGGTATGTTAATGAATTACAAGAACCAACATGCCGCCTTTCTTATTGCACCAGGCAGTAATGATCAACACTGTGCTTCCCCTAGCATTTTTTCTTAAAGAATTGTTTCCTTTTTTATTTGAATTTAAAGAAGACCTTTGCTACATAGTGAGGGCTTGAAAAGCCTCCTGATTTTAATTCCTTCCTATCAATGCTAAAATAGAGCAATTGTCATACACAGTTGGCTCCCCCACTTCCAGGCAATAGTAGGACCCAACTTGCTGATTCTCAAGTCATGTAGCTGTGTGTTCTTAAAAGAAGATCTAGATCTAATCCACACTGTAATATATCATTAGAAGAGAGCAGGAACTGAGTCCCGTCCCCCCCCCCCCCCCCCGGCTAGGCTACCTCGGTGAACGCAGCAGGGATGAGGGTGTAGTCTGGAAGTTTCTGGAAAGGCTGCACACTGTTGGGGTATCCCTCCGTACTGCGATGCAGGAGGACACTACTTTTCTGGCCCAGCCGAGCATAGATGCAGTTGGCAGCTGGGTCATCAGGCACCGTCAGCGTTTCATAGTGGTGGTCTGCTAATTACTCCATGATCTTCATGGCTTTCTGCCACATCACTGCTGCCAATCATAACCGTGTCAGATCCAGCCATGCTGCAGAAGCTGCTGAGATGCAATGTGCCTGAGACAGGAACAGTAGACACAGCAAAATCCCTGAAAGCATCCGCAACCATCTCTGCTCCTCTGTGATTAGTCCATTTGGATATGCCCACAAAGAACTCTCTACCTGTGAAAAGGACATCACTTCCATCCAAAGTGGCTCCCTCATCCGTAACCTCAACACACGTAGCTTTAGCTCCTCCAAGACTTTCTTGACACTGTAGATCTTATCTTGCCGGGAGGGTATCCACGGCCATGTGAGCAGCGCAGTGTCTCCTTGTATCACCGGCAGATCCCCCACCAATGTGGAATAGGGCAGGGCCTCATCCGCAGCCAACTGAATACCTTGCAGGCCTAGCTTCTGGCGCAAGATGCCCGTGTAGACACCGTATTGCCGATGAGCCTTTGCCAGATCCACTGGCTCAGCTCCACTGTTGAACCCATCCATTGAAGTCTATGCTGTACCAAATGAGGAGGGGATGCACAATCGCGTGGGTGTACTTGCCAAAAGAGGAGATGTTGGCCATAGTCTCGTCCAGGGCGATTCCATCCACTACTCACTGCTGCCCCAGAAAAGGAAAGGAGGGATTTTTTTGGGGTGGGAAGGGGTCCATTCAAGGGTCTCCCCTTGTATTCTGGGCTGCATCAAAAGGAGTATAGTGTTTAGATCAAGGGAAGTTATGGTGCCTCTCTATTCTACTTTGGTTAGACCTCACCTGGAATATTGTGTCCAATTCTGGGCACCACAATTCAAAAGCGATATTGACAAGCTGGAAGGTGTCCAGAGGAGGGCGACTAAAATGATCAAAGGTCTGGAGACCATGAATCCCTATGAGGAGCATCTTAAAGAACTGAGTATGTTTAGCCTGCAAAAGAAAAGTTTGAAAGGAGACATGATAGCCATGTATAAATATGTGAAAGAATGCCATAAAGAGGAGAGAGCAGGCTTTTTTTCTGCTGCCCTGGAGACTAGGACTCAGACCAAGGGGTTCAAATGATAGGAAAGAAGTTTCCATCTGAACATTAGGAAGAACTTCCTGACTGTGAGAGCTGTTCGGCAATGGAACTCTCTGCTTCTGAGAGTGGTGGAAGCTTCTTCCTTGTAAGCTTTTAAACAGAGACTGGATGACCATCTCTCAGGGGTACTTTGATTGTGTTTTTCCTGCATGACAGGGATTTGGACTAGATGGACCATATGGTCTCTTCCAACTCTATACACTCAAAAAAGTATTCTGCCCAATATTTTTTTTCTTTGTTGCTGAGTGTCTTCAAGTCATTCCTGATTTATGGCAACTCTAAGGCTGGGTTTTCTTTTCATAATTTGTTCAAAGAGGGTTTGCATGTTGTCTTCCTCTGATGCTAAGCAAACATTATCTATTCCACTTGCATGATTGAGCAGTGATTCATATCTAGTCTCCAGAACCATAGTACAATGCTCAAATCGCCACTGATAGTGTCTAGCATTGAGAGGGTGAGACATCTAACACTCCCATACTTGCTCCATTTGCCTTCCCTTGGTATCTCCCTACACCTCTTTGTTGGATGACTACATTTGTGTTTTTTTTAATGCTCAGCTGGACTTCTGCATTATTACAATGCTAGAAATGTAGAGGCTAAAGGAAAATTTAATTGAGAACAGTTTTATGGAATAGGCAGTGTCCTCCCTTGTGGTTACAAACCAAGATGATGTATTTGCTCTACTTTGGCATGTTTTTTAAAAGGAGACCTTTCCCTTTCACACGTGGCTTGGGCAGAAACATGGATGGACATTCTACTTTGTCCTCAGAATAACTTTTGTCTGTTTCATAGAATCATAGAGTTGGAAGAGACCTCATGGGCCATCCAGTCCAACCCCCTGCCAAGAAGCAGGAGTATTGCATTCAAAGCATTCCTTGCAGATGGCCATCCAGCCTCTGTTTAAAAGCTTCCAAGGAAGGAGCCTCTACCATACTTTGGAGCAGAAAGTTCCACTGCTGAACAGCTCCCACAATCAGGAAGTTCTTCCTAATATTCAGATGGCATCTCCTTTCTTGTAGTTTGAAGCCATTGTTCTGCGTCCTAGTCTTCAGGGCAGCAGAAAACAAGTTCGCTCCCTCCTCCCTATGACTTCCTCTCACATATTTCCCTCAACTTTAAGCTGCAGTCTCCCATTGCCATCTTCCACATAGACAGAAACCCCCGAATTGAATAGTCCACGGTTTGTTGGAGGTTTTCATGACCAGAATCACTGGGGTGTTGTGTGGTTTCTGGGCTGCATGGCTGTGTCCTAGTAGCATTTTCTCTTGACATTTCACCTGCATTTGTTGCTGGCATCTTCAGATGATCCAGCCACAGATGCAGTCAAAACATCAGGAGAAAATGCTGCTAGGACACGGCCATACAACCCGTAAACCACACAACACGCCAGTCCAAGGTTTGTTTCCATCCAAGATTTGATATGTGAACTCTGCCCTCTATTTCTGTCATACAAAAGGTAAGCAAGCAAAGTTTATTGAATAGTCCACTGACCATATCAACATTAAAAACAAAAATGTACACAAATAGACAATAATCACTATCCTAAGACTCCCATAATAGTGAACTAACATACATTCAAACTTAATTAAGTTAAAAGATAATTAAAAATATCATCATTAAAATGCCAAGGTAAAATTTCAAACCACAAAAATTAAAAACGGAAGGTTACAACAAAGGTTAAAATAGACCAGCTATTACACAATCCCAAGCCACTTCAGATATCTGCATCACCCGTACAGTTTACCCCAATCACCTCCAGAAAAGGTATATAACACAGATCTAAAAATGACAAAGAGAATTTGCTAGCAGTTCTAGGATACTCTCAACACTTCACACTTGGAGATCTTGAGGAAATTTGTTATTTTGTACGACAGTTGTCTCTTTGGTTTGAAACTTCCACTCCGGAAAGGCCTTCCTCTTGATCCCCAGACATTCCCTGCTGGGTTTGGGCAAATTACCAAGGTTTTCTGTTCTTGCTCAGGCTGGGAAAAGTCCCTCTATAAGAGAGGCAAAGAAGGATTTGGCTACCCTGGAGAGTGCAAACACAATCACAAACAAAACCCCAATATATTTCAAGTGCGGAGAGAATTTTCTGTTTGACAAAGTATAGATACGTAAATTGCAAGTTGAAATATCAATAAAGTAGAATCTGGGTATTACTGTCGACACCCCCCCCCCCTTAAAACAATATTCACATCTTATTCATTTGTTGTAGAAAAGACCACATGCCTTTTCTCTCTAAAGAAATGCTGCTGTTGTAAATGTGCAAAGTACTCAAACAGCAGTGTTTCACATCTCCAAAACCACTTTCTCCCCTCCCCATAGTTTCAATTGTCACTTTTATATGGAATGCAGTCATTTCCAATTGTGGTGGAGCTTAAGTTTTCATGTCGATGCTGTGTACCCCTTACAATGCTATCCTGATATTACTTCACATATATTCTCGAAGTCTTTCATGGCCGGAATCACTGGGGTGTTGTAGGTTTTTTCGGGCTATATGGCCATGTTCTAGAGCAGGGGTCCTCAAACTACGGCCCGGGGGCTGGATACGGCCCTCCAAGGTCATTTACCCAGCCCTCGCTCAGGATCAACCTAAGTCTGAAATGACTTGAAAGCACACAACAACAACAACAACAACAATCCTATCTCATCAGCCAAAAGTAGGCCCACACTTTCCATTGAAATACTAATAAGTTTATATTTGTTAAAATTGTTCTTCATTTTAATTATTGTATTGTTTTAAAGTGTTTTTGTACTACCAGTAAGATACGTGCAGTGTGCATAGGAATTCATTCATGTTTTTTTCAAATTATAATCCGGCCTTCCAACAGTTTGAGGGACTGTGACCTTACCCTTTGTTCAAAAAGTTTGAGGACCCCTGTTCTAAAGGCATTCTCTCCTGACTTTTCGCCTGCATCTATGGCAAGCATCCTCAGAGGTAGTGAGGTGACCTCACATACTTTGCACATATGTGCCAGCATAGCAGGGTAAAAAAACACTCCAAATGTTAGACTGTTTTCCAAACCTTTAGAGTGTTCTGCTTGCATCCATTTTTTTATTTAAAGGCTTGGTTGCTGGCAAACTGCATTACACTGAGTATCCAAGTATTTTATTTTGAAAACAGAACTGAATAGGCTTCAAGCTAGTCCGTCAGCATTAGTCAGTCACTTTGACCAATTAGAAGTGTGCTAGCAAGTCTACAAACTTCAGATTTTAAAACAAAGTACATTCATCAATAGAAAATATGGAGTTAGAGTCTCCATGAAATTTCAGTAACCTGAGTGAATGCCTCTAGAAATCTTGAGGTTGTCCTGCACAACACTGTGGTCAATTTTCACCAGACATTGACCATATAATCACACCGAAGGACCTACAAATAGCTAGAAAAGCATCCTCTCTAGGTATTTCTAGGTCTTCTATTTCAACTCTGTGGTCAGCTTCCAGTGGAGGTTGTCTATAGAGTTGCACCAGAAGACCTAGAGATTCCTAGAGAAAACATGTTAATAAAATTCACAGATAACCAAATCCACAGAAGTGAAACCCACAAATGTGGAGGGGAGACTTTATATATATATTTTACAAATAATAAGTTTTTCGAAACGTTGCAAACTGTATTTTATCCTCTCTACTGTTGTGATTGACATTTCCCCCGATTCTCCAACCAAACAACAACGATGACAGCAACAACAATAAGGACTTTAATCTCTACCTCAGGCAGGCATTGGCGATAAAGACATGAGTTCCAATCAAATGTTTGAATTGCATAGATTTTGGGGTGTTTTGGAAATAGTTAAATGAAGCACACTTCTATGTTTCTTCCCAAATGCAAAATTCTTGCAGATTTTTTCCCCCAGGGATCACACAGTTGTGTTTTTTACCTTTAGAACTAACAGTATGAAATGGAGGACAAAGGAAACTGAGACATCTGTGATAGCTTTGCTGCAGTTTTAATACTATAGTGGAAAGGTTACTATATTCCCTAATGCAATATAAATATAGAGGGAGGGGAAGTTGCCCCACAGCATTTCATTAAGAGAGAACAGATGTTCAAGCCAGAGTAGTCAGCCAGCCATAGCAAGCCCCGTAGTTAATTTCTTGTGACTAAATGTACTTTTTAATTTGGTCTTTTTCAGCAATGAAATCGTAAGGACAGACTTAAAGAAGCTTCCAGCTCTTCCAACACAAGCACTTAAGGAGCACCCATCTCTTGCTTATTGGTAACTTTCCTATATTTTCAGTACAGTTCAATCATTTATATGGGAGATATTCCAAGATCAGTGTGTGTATGACTTCATCATACATTTATAATGGTTTTCTAACAGTTTAATGGCTTTAAGGGATTTTTGCCTAGTGTTTGAAAATGCTTAGTCACAGGTTCCCTCACAAACTCCACCTCCCGAATTACATTCCCTGGATAATTACAGAAAACTGTTCGTTCATGTGAGCTTTGTTCTATGACAGTGAAAACCAAATTTAGTTTTGCATCTTCTAACCCATTGCATATGCCAAGGAGATAGAGAGTAGTTCCCAGCTCTGAACCAATCTGTCTGTGGCCACTTTAAGACATTATTTGATACAGGAAGCAGCATGAAAAGCTGATTGAATAAACATAGAAAGAAAGAAAGAAAGAAAGAAAGAAAGGAAGGAAGGAAGGAAGGAAGGAAGGAAGGAAGGAAGGAAGGAAGGAAAATATTAAAACAGGTCTGAACAATGCCCACTCCCCAAATGCTGTATTATTGCTATAAAGGCTCTTGGGTGTATGGTTGTCATAGCAGATGTTTTGTGGGATACCAAAACATCTGCTATGACTTTTTCTGAGTCAATCTGACTTGGCTCACCTCAAGGGAGAGCAAAGCTTCACTGTGTGGCCACATGAGATCACCTATCAGCTTTTTTAGCATTCAATTGCTTTAGACTTGCTGGACTGTTGTTTTTCTGTGCCCTCACAAAGGTGGCAGAAAAGCCCAAAGGAGAGGTAATTCTCCTTTTTAAGAAAGGTTTCAGATTAGATCTCATCAATAGTGAGATAGAAAGTTCCACTATAGAAAGTTCCAGGTTGGGACCATTTCCCCTATTTTTAGTCTCAGTGCTATCTGTTATGCTCACCAACGTTCAAGAGCAGAGTGCAAAATCCCATACAGTAGGGATTCCCTGAGTTCAGTGGGACTTAGTCCTAGTAGGTCAGTGCATCATTGCAGCCTAAACCTCTGTGTCCAGTGACAGAAAGAAGATCCAAATTCTAAAACTGGCTATGACAGAAACTTTAACATTTTTAAAGAATATTTTCTGCATTTAGGGGGCCAGATTTATCTGCAGGAGAAGTATATATTTTAATGAAATTCTTTATTTGGGTACTATAATTTGAGATTGCTTTTTTAAAAAGAAATAAATAAAATGTTTTTGATTGCAGATATTATATACAAGGGGTATTTTTTAAGTAAGGTCCATTTTGTTGTAGACACTAGTAGTTCGCGCACATGCATCTTGTACCGGCATGCCTCGGGAACAACTGTGCTCAGTTTCCGCTCTGTAGCTAACCTGTACGGTTCTGTTCTGTGCTTTAAAAATGTTTAAGACTATCAACTCACCCTCCGCATGTGAGGTTCGCTCAGTGATACGGTTTTTGTCAGCAAGGAACCTGCCTGCTGCAGAAATTCATCGACAGATTTGTGAAGTGTACGGTGATACTGTTATGAGTGAAAGCAAAGTGCGTAAGTGGGTACGACAATTCAAAGATGGCCGTGACAACGTCCATGATGAGGACCGCTCCGGTCGCCCTTCTTTGATTACAGACGATTTGGTGGCTTCAGTTGAAGCGAGGATTCGTGAGAACAGGCGCTTCACAATAACAGGTCTCTCAAACGAATTTCCTGACGTGTCGAGATCAGTGCTTTACAATGTTTCTGAACACCTAAATTTTAGGAAACTGTGCTCCCGTTGGGTCCCGAAACTCCTAACATTTGATTTGATTGCACACTCAAATCATCTGTAATCAAAGAAGGGTGACCGGAGCGGTCCTCATCATGGACATTGTCACGGCCATCTTTGAATTGTCGTACCCACTTACGCACTTTGCCTTCACTCATAACAGTATCACCGTACACTTCACAAATCTGTCGATGAATTTCTGCAGCAGGCAGGTTCCTTGCTGACAAAAACCGTATCACTGAGTGAACCTCACATGCGGAGGGTGAGTTGATAGTCTTAAACATTTTTCAAGCACAGGACAGAACCGTACAGGTTAGCTACAGAGTGGAAACTGAGCACAGTTGTTCCCGAGGCATGCCGGTACACGACGCACGCGCTCGTTGCGGTATGCGCGCAAACTACTAGTGTCTACAACAAAACGGACCTTACTTTAAAAATACCCCTCGTATAAACAGGTTTACCTAAAAAAAATATTAACTATAGAGACCTATTCTGGATCCCCATGGTCTTTCACAATGAGGACATGGATTTCCAGATCGGCGCAGGTACAGAGCCTCTCCTCTGCCAGATGCCAGGCTCTTAACTCAGATCTCTGCTTGCATCTCAAATCAAGAAATGGGCTGAGCAATGGCTCATATCTCAAAACATTTGAATTCCAAGGTTGCTCGTAATTCAAGGTATCGCTGTACACTGTTTAATATCAGAAAAATATTGTTTTTATAAACAAACAGGAATATATTACCATAGATGTCCCATATTTATTTTGTGGGTAATCCTCCTTCTGATTCTGGGTTAAGACATTTGCCACTACAACCCCCCCCCCCCCATCTCTGAATTTTAGTTGGTACATTATGTAACCACTTTCTTGGAAGCTAAGCAGWSTCAACCCTGGTTAGTACTTGCATAGAAGACCACCCATAAATACCAGGTGCTGCGGGCTATATTTCAGAGGAAATAACTGGCAAAGCCACCTCTGAGTATTCCTTTCTTAAGGCCCCTTCTACACTGCCAGATAATCCAGTTCAAAGCAAATAATCTGGATTTCATATGGCAGTGTAGAAGGGGCCTAAGAAGACCCTATGAAATTCATGGGGTCACTAGAAGTCGACAGGTAACTTGAAAGGAAATATTCATGCAACTGGGACATGATATCAAGTTTCTGTGTTCTGGTACTTGAGTTGAGGTTTTAGTTGTAGTCTTTCAACTGCCAATCTCATTATGTACCTGTCCAGTTGTTAGAATTTTCTGGAAAGACCCTCTTGAGAGTATCATCACCTGTAGAAGTCCATGAGATGTGCATGTAGAAGAAGACATCCTCCTGTATTCCTCACACATTGTGCAATGTACTCCCCTCTGAGTGGCCTTTTAAAATGTTTGGATGCTTGTTTATTGTGATAAGCTCAGTGGCTGTATTGTTATAATTTATTTTTACTTCATATCTGACTTGGTTAAATTTTGCTTATTAGTTTCTCTTAGTTTGTGGGGCTTTTTGGCAATGCCAAGGTGAGATAAAATGTAATACAAACAAAGAAATGCAATTATTTGCAAAAAGCTTCTTGAAAAGTTTTCTGCCACAACATTGCCTTCCCAGGGCAACCTGAAAATTAAATGAGCTGGCAGATTAGAAAAGATGACAGCATCCCATTTCAATTTGGAATGACTTAAAGTTAAATCCCCCATCTGTCTCTTCACTTCTCTTTCATCAGTGCAAATATTAATTAGTTTGGGAAAATTCTGTTTGATACAACAAAGATAGACAGAGCTGTTTTGCTGCTGACTCTTTCATGTTACTTATGAAAGCATTGGGTTCCAAGCCCAGCTATGGGCAGAAAGTTCTCTGATCTGTTCCTCTTTTATTTTGTTTTAAATTTTTTTATCTTGTTTTTTGATGACAGCAAGGAAGTATGATTTTTATTTTCTAATTAGGGATCACTGCTTATTCTCTCTCTTTCTGTCCCTACATTGGAAGCATAGCCACATTTCCTTGCCCAGTGACTGTTTCTGCCTATAGCATTGTATTCAAACACAGCTGTATTGGGTTTAAAAAAAACAACCTTATAATGTCTTTGAAATTAACTGGAACTTGTCTACACTGATGAAAAAATTGTACTCAATTTGTACACACTGCAATCCTGATACACAACAATCCTAATTGTTCACTTGCAATTCAGCTCTTTCGGTATTATTATTAATAATAATAATAATAATAATAATAATAATTATTTATATACCGCTCTATCTCCTCGAGGGGACTCAAAGCGGTTCCCAGGTAACATCACAAAACATACAAAGTAAAACAACATAACCAGGCATGTAGCCAGGTGGGGGGGGGGGCTTGAGGGGCTTCCCCCCCCGAAATTCTCATGGTGGTTCGCGAAAAAGTCTTACTGGTGCATTATTTAAACTGTTATGTTTATTCATATCATGATCTGATCACCATACTCAATATATCCCATATGCATGGGGGTATTGGGGTAACGATACAAAAGGTTTGCTAGGATAGACCCTCTTTCACTCAGACTCACCCCCCCCCCCAAATAATCCTGGCTACGGGCCTGAACATAACCATAAGATTTACAAAACAATATAAGCATAAAATCACAACCTCTGTGGATGCTTGCATAGATGAAGGCGAAACGTCAGGAGACAATGCTTCTAGAACATGGCCATATAGCCCGTAAAAACCTACAAGAACCTGTCTAGTATTTGTTGGCAATTTCCCATCTAAAAACTAACTAGACCTGCTTAGCTTCCAAGATCAGATGGGACCTGGTGCCTTTAGGGTATTTAGGTTCCAGTGGCATTTACTCCCAAGGAAACCTTCATAGGATTGCACTGTAGAAGACTACCAGCATTGCATCTTTATTGGGAGTCTTTGGACCTCCCCAAGGTTCTATGTATGCCACCCCAAAACATGCTACCAGTATTTGGAGTAGTTTATCTTTCTTAGACCTGAATAGACTTCCTTTTACGTTCAGACATGAAGCCAGAAATCCAATCACTTTATGAGATAAGGTCTCAGGCTGAAACAAGATGCATCCTGACCCCATCTATGCGCTAGAATATGTGGCAAAAGGGCCCATAGCAAATCTTACAAAATTTGGGCTGGGGAAATTGAGGGTTGGGGAAATTATCTCACCAAATTTGGATTGTCAATGGGAAATGTAGCATTCCAAGGTCCTGTAGAGCAAATTGCAGCCACCAATTCCTGGCCTTTAGCCATTCCCTGCAATGTAAGATATTTTCCCTTATCTTATAATTTAATAATAATAATAATAATAATAGTCTGTATTTATACTCCGCCACCATCTCCCCAGTGAGGACTCAGGGCGGCTAACATGAGGCCGAGCTGAAGAATAATACAACAAAATAAAATCCAGAACAATAAAAAAATTAAACACAACAAAATACATAATGCAGCAAAATAAAATAGACAGTGCAAGATAACATAATAAAATCAATCACAGAGGGCGGGCCAAATGTGCAAGATAAAGTGTTAAAAACATTAAAACCTTGAGTGAGATTGGAAGTAAAGGAAGTTAATTTGTAAAAAAAAAAAAAAAGGAGCCTGAGACAGGGGAGCGGTGGGGTTTAGGCCTCATTTGGGGTGCATCGTGTAAACAAACTGTAGGTGGAAACTAATAATAAGGATAAGGGTGGTCACTCTGCTCTATATGGTTGCTGCTGTTGCTATTGCTATGTATGTGTGTTTAAAATTTTTAAAATACATGCAGTTATTCACCAGATCTGTTTTACTGCCGTCTGTTGCTTAGTATTTGTAGACATGCTTTAGATTCTGGGGTTTTGTTTCCATGCTTTTATGAGATACCTCTTCTACAAGGGAGGTTCTTCACTATTTTTCCAGCTGCTTAAGGTATTAAGATTCTGTTTCTCTCCTTCAAAGTGAGGATCGAGTTATTGAGCATTACAAGAAGCTGAATGGACAGACCAGAGGCCAAGCTATTGTCAAGTAAGTTGGGAAGGAAAATGCTGGACTGTGATGACCTTTGTATCTGGGATATATATAGTATGCATTCAGGGTGGTAAATTCTGCATGTAATCTGTCCTGTAGCAGTGTGTGTGTGTGTGTGTTCAGGCAGGACTTTCCAAATTTTATGTTCTTAATGTTTTTCAGAAGTTTATCATGGGCTTTTAAATTCAAATATCAATAATTATGGACTAATCAATTTTACTACTTTTACTAATTGGTCCAGAGTTTCAGGTGAGTACTGAATGTGTTTAAGTGTGTGCAAGATAGTAGTGAAAACATATCCCACATTCTTCTTGATTTTACAGGCATTTTGAAATGTGTACTTTGGGATTCAATCAGTACCTAGAAAGCAGGATTCTTGGAAATCGGTTTTCACAGAAGCTCTTTCAGGCTAGAAGTACTCTTCTAGACATGTTCATTTTCAATTTCATTAGAAAGCATTTGAAAATGGTGACTTCCATCTAGTCCTTTGCGGTTCTATCTTTGTCTATACTGGAATATTCTATATTTGGGGGTGAATAAAGATCGAAATTATTTTTTTAAATAGTTTTTTATTGAAATATTTGAAAATTACAACGAAAGAGGGCAAATATTGAAAAAGAAGATAGAACAGTAGGAAAAGAGAGAGAACCGCACCACCACCCTAAAATTCAAAAAAATAAGAAAAAGAAGATAAAAAAGGGGAACGGCAAAAATCCGAAAATCCAAAATAATAATTAAAAGGAAAGAAAAAAACACCAAAAAACAAAAATAAAAGTTAAAAAAGAGTTGACTTCCATCTCCTCATCAGGTGTTGTGTCTCCAAAAATTAACCATGTTTCCATTACTTCCTCATTAAAATGTTCCTCTTATTTACTTCTTTCTTTCTCATAATTATCATAGAGAGTCCAATCTGTCCTCTTTATCGGATTCCCAGTATTATTTTTTTAAAAAAAGTTAGTTCATCCATCTCTATTATTTCTCTAATTTTCCCTAACCATTCTTCAATGGTAGGGATACTGTCCTGTTTCCAAAGTTTTGCCAAATATATTCTCACTACCGTCGTAATATAGGTAAATAATTTGTCTTCATTTTCATCTAATTGTAATTCTAGGTCTGTAAAACCTAATAGATAATATTCTGGTTTCTTCTTGAATGCTCTCTTCAATATTTTTTGTGTTTCTTCATGTATCATCGACCAATATTTCACTATTTCTTTGCATGTCCACCATTTATGATAAAAGGTACCTGTCTGGTGACACCCTTTCCAACATTTATCAGAGGAGTTTTTATTTATAAATAAAGATCGAAAATCTTCATCTGCAGTTGAAATACCAATAATAATAATAATAATAATAATAAGGGTAGAGTCACTACAACCTTTTTTTGTTTTTTGTAATTTTATTATTATTATTAATTATTTATTTTTATCTTTATTACTATTATTATTATTTCTTCTTTTGTCTTACCCATCTTTTACTATCCATTTCCTCCTATCCTATCTCTTGAATGTTCTCCCACTTTACATGCTATACACACACACACTTTCCCGACCTCTACTGTTACACATGACTACCCTGTTACACCTGACTATCCTTAATAAAAATCTATACTAAAAAAATAAAGCATTTGAAAATCACTCCAGTAAATAGTACATTACTACAAAATAAGCAAGCATTTCAATACAATATTCAAATAATGGTGCTTAACATTGACGTACCATTCAAATAAAACTTAATGAAGTCTGCAACTCCCTTTTAAAGTAGCTAACCATTGATTGCACTGCTCCTTACTAATCTCCAGCAAAACTGATACAAACAATATGTATAGATATGGATTTGAATATGTATTTATTCATTTTGTTCATATTGTTTGGAAGAATTTATTATTTAGAATAATTTATTCTTTTAATTTCCATCCTCACCAGAAAGGGCACCTGCCTTAATGAATTTGCTGTCTTTCCATAATATTTTGCTATTTCCATATCTGACCCCATTTTAATGTTTCTTTCTATAGTTACATGAGCATTGTTGAATCGCTTCCAACATATGGTGTCCACTATTACGCCGTTAAGGTATGTGACAATTGAAAAAATATTCAATCAAATGTATTGCGAATGAACAATTACAACAGAATAATTATTATCATTTTTCTATAACAATTTTATCTGCCATATTAAAATAAACAATTAGCTTTAATAATTTTGGATACCTGCAATGCATAGTTAGAAAGGTCATTTCAGTATAAATATTAAAGGTTTAACTTACTAGGATCAAAGCTTTGAATTATAATATCTAATTGTAGCTTGAATAGATTGGTTTATTGTAGGTTACACTGGAAACCTAGTGCCTTGCTGTTATTTTGGGGGTTATTTTTAAATTTGACATTAATATTCAGCTTGTGATTTATTGTTGGGTCAGCAGTGCACTGAAAATGTCAGGTTCGTTGTGTAAAATAGGTCAGGTCTAGGGGTCAACATTTGTCTCCCCTCCTTTAGGACCAAATGCAAGCAACACCCTTTCAAAAATGAGATTTGGTTTTGTTGCTGTTATTTTTATACAGAACTACGTGGATTTTTTTTACGGTATTTTAAAGAAGAAAACATCCTCTCATAGAAGCAAATGTGCAACCCTTACTGTAAAAAGGAATCATCCTTCCTGAGGCTGCCACTCTTTCTATTTAACAGTTACACTGAAACATTTATTGGGTGGCTATCCTACCAAATGTGGCCACTGGGCCATTTTTACAACCCACAAATCTAATATTACAAAATATAAAATGGTTGTCAGATTGTATATTGACATATCCAAGTAATAAGAGTCACATACAAAGATTAATCTTCTGCTTGTTGTTATATATATATATATATATATATATATATATATATATACACACACACACACACACACATACATATACATACATACACACATACACATACACACACACATTAAATACACATTTAATGTGTGTGTGTGTGTGTGTTGGTACAGCTGTACCAGAAGCTCCAACTTTATTTGCTTTATATTAAGTGTTTGCTTACAGCCCAAGGTTTGGGATTCTGCAGAAGGCTGGCTTCCTGTTAAAGTTTGCAGTTATAGGGCAGGCCCCCTGTCCATCATTGTTAAGTTTGGTTCCGCCCCCTGTTCAGGACAACTGAGAAGGGAAGGGAGCCATTTTCAGTTGGTCTCAGCAAGGAAAGTCAATGTACAGGATGTGTACAGACTTTCTCCTGTACAAAGGCTTCAACCCTTAAGACTTCCCGGGGGAGAACAGTCTTAAGAGCATCTAAAGATTCCCAAAGGTTCCAGGGAAACAGCCTTACAGCCCTGAGGAATTTCGGAGGGAATAACAGCTTTAAACACCAAGAACTCCAGCTAAGTGACTACAGGCCTACTGGTAGGTCCACTCGGTTTTGAGACGCAGTTCAGCCCGGTAGTAGATCCACATCAGTTAGGTTTAGGATCACAGTTAGCCTGGGAGAAGTTTGGAAAGGGATTTTCCTTTAGAGTAAAAGTAACAGTTAGAAGCCATCAGTTGCACAAAAGCCTGGAAGCATTTGTTTAACCTTTTGAAGACAAAAGAAGTTTCTGTTGATTATTCACCAAGAAAAGACTTTGTTATATTTTACAAGCCCTCTAGAGACTGTTTATGGTGAAAATCCTTATGAATTTCTCTTCGGGCCCCCTGGCTTCCCGCTGGGCTAAAGTTGCACGTCCTGTTTTAAAAGCACTTCATTACAAGCCCAGCGCGCGACAGAGCAGTGTGTATGTTTATGTGTATGAATGAAGCTGTATGAATGAAGCTCAATTTTTTCTCAGTGTACATGCTTACCTTATGAAAAAGCTTGCATGAAATAAGATTCATGTTTTTGCTCTTTGATCCTTTCTTTATCTGATAGATCTAAAATTTAGGCTGTGTTTCATAGATTTTTTAAAAAATGTATTGGCAGTTTACATACTATAGTAGAAAATGGACAGCATTGGACAACATTAGAAGTGACTTTCAGTGCTGCCTCAGGAAATTATGAAGACATAATGTGCACAAAGAACACGATGGACCTCTTGTTCCTTTCTATGCCATGTATAGAAGCATGGAAATGAATATTTTAATATGACTTCCAATAATATTAGATGCTTGGAAGCTTTTATTGGGTTCTCATAATTGTGTGTTCAAGGAATTTATGTGGGAAGCGTGGATCCCATTCATTTGTAACTATCCAGTTTTTTCTCAATTGCTAGTTCTGGCTTTTTCTCACCTCATAAAATCAGTTAAGGAGGACAGACGCCCAATATCTTTTTATTACCTCTGTGTGTCATCTGTATAGAAGCACCTCACATATGGATTCATTGTAAATGGGAGCAAAGTACAGTACAAACTCCTGTCATTATAATGAGCATGCAAGCAGTCTCTGTTAAAAGATGTTCCAAAGTACTTAACAAAATATGGCAATCCTGTTTATAATTATTTTTAAAGGGCTTCAAGTCATAACTGCCTTTGTCCTTTTGTTATATTGCCAGAATAATATTGACTCTTACATGTTTTCCTTACTTAGGACAAGCAGGGAATTCCTTGGTGGCTAGGACTGAGCTACAAAGGGATCTTTCAGTATGACTACCATGACAAAGTCAAACCAAGAAAGGTAAGCTCATTCTGTACAGAAACATTATTGACTGAATGATTGGCAGAAACATTTATAGTACTAATTTGTCCGAGGCAACAGCAACGAGCTCAGAATCTCTAATAATCCCTAATTTAGTGATCTGTTGCAGTGATGGGAAGCAGCGCAGAATACACCATTATTACATGCCAGAGACCTTAAGCCTTCTTAATCATAGAATCAAAGAGTTGGAAGAGACCTCATGGGCCATCCAGTCCAACCCCCTACCAAGAAGCAGGAATATTGCATTCAAAGTACCCCCAATAGATGGCCATCCAGCCTCTGTTTAAAAGCTTCCAAAGAAGGAGCCTCTACCACACTCTGGGGCAGAGAGTTCCACTGCTGAACAGCTCTCACAGTCAGGAAGTTCTTCCTCGTGTTCAGATTGGATCTCCTTTCCTGTAGTTTGAAGCAATTGTTTCGCGTCCTAGTTTCCAGGGAAGCAGAAAACAAGCTTGTTCCCTCCTCCCTGTGGCTTCCTTTCACATATTTATACATGGCTATCATATCTCCTCTCAGCCAGTGGAGCTGGCATAACATAGGAGTTGTATGTTACCTGTATGCAGCCCCAGTTAAGCTGGCTGCTTCTGGCAGCGCTTGGGGCAATTTTTTGTTGAGAGGTGATTACATGTCCCAGATTGTTTCCTCTCTGTTGTTTTGCTGTTGCAATTTTAAAGTTTTTTATATACTGGTATCCAGATTTTGTTCATTTTCATGATTTTATGGAGAGGAAACAATCTGGGACATGTAATCACCTCTCAACAAAAGATTTCCCCAGGCACAGTCAGGCCATTGTATGCTAATCAGCGTAGTCAGTTGAAACATTCACACCTAGCTCCAACATACAAGAGTTCTTTGTCCCACCCTGGTCATTCCACAGATATATAAACCCTTTTTCCTAGTTCCAACAGACCTCACTACCTCTGAGGATGCTTGCCATAGATGCAGGCGAAATGTCAGGAGATAATGCCTCTAGAACATGGCCATACAGCCTGAAAAAACCTACAACAACCCATTTGTCATGTGCTTTGAAGACTACCCATAGTGTACTCCAGTTCTTTTCAGCTCTCTTGGAGAACAGAAAGTTTGAGAAGCTCTTTGTAGTCTGGGGAAAAGATCTCTCATTTTCTTCCCATTTTCCATCTTTTTTCCCCTACAGGAAAAGAAAAAACACTCTAATTTATCAAGGCAGAAGTATCTTTTGTCATCTTAATGGGCAGAATGTATATTTTCCCCCATGGTGTCAAAGTTATGGTACCAAAGTATATAATTCCTTGGTATCAGGAGACTTTATTCTGTTTTTTATTGTAGCAAAGCATTTTCTATTTAGAGATGAAGGAAACTATCACAGGATTTTCTGAAAAGAAAACAATATAAACGCATCTCATCATTTTGCCCCATCTTTCCAATTTAACTTTCATTCATTGCCAAGCCTGAAACAAATTGAAAAATTGTTTTCAGTAATTTTTTTCAGTAGAGCAGAACAAACCAGTCCAAACTGAAAAGTGTACATTAAATGCTTGTCTCAAGAAAACTATTGTTTTTCCATTAGGTCATCCTCGACCATTTTTCATACTTATTATATTTGCTGCAATAAACAGATGAACCTTGTATCTTACAATCCCATCAGTATCCAGTCAAAACCAAGCTCTTATTAAATTGCTCCAGCAATTTGGTGAGAACCTTGAAGAATCCTGGCTACCCTTTTAAAGATAAAGGCTTGGGCAAATTGTGGACTCATATTCTAGAATCGCATTTATATTCATTTAAATTCTGGTTTATTTTGCTAATCTCACTGGAATGCAATTGGGCTTTTAATATGAGATAATCTGAATGAAACAATGGACACAGAATTGAATTAGACTGGAGTTTCTGAAAGCAAGAGCTAAACACATTTGATTCCCGAAGGCCTATTGTCTGTGCTTTAACAGACTAATAAGGTCAAATGGAGACAAGATTGTATTATAGATAGTTTGTTTCCTTCCTAGTGTATTTTACATAAAGTAAATTATGGATAATAGAAAGTAGGCACTGATGGATAGCTGACCATGGCCACATTTGGTCATATTTCAACTTAGGTTCAAAATGTGCAATAAGCATTTTGGCATGCCTTATTATTTTCTCTTTCCCAGAGTAGTAGTGAGAAATGCATGGCATCTCAGGCACCCAGAAGAGGGATCTGGAAGTTTGAATCAACCTGTTGTTTGGGGTGTTGTGCGGTTTTCAGGCTGTATGGCTATTTTCTAGCAGCATTTTCTCCTGATGTTTCCCTTGCTTCTGGGCTGACACCTGCAGGGGATCTGTTGTTTGTTGGTACCATTGCTGTTATTCTTGATGAACAATTGGTTAAATGGACGAACCCAGAGGATGCTCACCAATGCTTCCTCTTCATCTTGGAAAGAAGTGACGAGTGGAGTCCTGGGCCCGGTCCTGTTGAACATCTTTATTAATAATTTAGATGAAGGGCTAGAAGGCATGATCATCAAGTTTGCAGATGACACCAAATTGGGAGGGATAGCCAATACTCCAGAGGACAGGACAGAATTCAAAATGATCTTGACAGATTAGAGAGATGGGCCAAAACTAACAAAATGAAGTTCAACAGTGACAAATGCAAGATACTCCACTTTGGCAGGAAAAATGAAATGCCAAGATACAGAATGGGGGACAATGCCTGGCTCGAGAGCAGTACGTGTGAAAAAGATCTTGGAGTCCTCGTGGACAACAAGTTAAACATGAGCCAACAATGTGATGTGGCGGCAAAAAAGTCAATGGGATTTTGGCCTGCATCAATAGGAGCATAGTGTCTAGATCTAGGGAAGTCATGCTCCCCCTCTATTCAGCCTTGGTTAGACCACACCTGGAATATTGTGTCCAATTCTGGGCACCACAATTGAAGGGAGATATTGACAAGCTGGAATGTGTCCAGAGGAGGGCGACTAAAATGATCAAGGGTCTGGAGAACAAGCCCTATGAGGAGCGGCTTAAGGAGCTGGGCATGTTTAGCCTGAAGAAGAGAAGGCTGAGAGGAGATATGATAGCCATGTATAAATATGTGAGAGGAAGCCACAGGGAGGAGGGAGCAAACTTGTTTTCTGCTTCCCTGGAGACTAGGACAAGGAACAATGGCTTCAAACTACAAGAAAGGAGATTCCATCTGAACATGAGGAAGAACTTCCTGACTGTGAGAGCCGTTCAGCAGTGGAACTCTCTGCCCCGGAGTGTGGTGGAGGCTCCTTCTTTGAAACTTTTAAACAGAGGCTGGATGGCCATCTGTCAGGGGTGATTTGAATGCAATATTCCTGCTTCTTGGCAGGGGTTGGACTGGATGGACCATGAGGTCTCTTTCAACTCTTTGATTCTATAATTCTAAGCCATGGCCAAAACCAAAGAAAACGGTATAGTTTGAACAACACAATCAGTCGGTATTTCAGAAATCAATACCATCTCTTGTTTCCTAGCTGCTTCCTTCATCCCTCCCACTTAA